TCTAGATATAATAAAAGAACTTATTTAAATTAATTTAATTTTTTTTTTAAATAATAATAGAAGGAACCTTATCTTCACAAAAAAACAACAAAAAAAAAAACAACGACAAACAAATTAAATGTTTAAAAAAAAAAAGCTACAAAATCATGTGCTAAAAATAGGCCAAAATAACGTCTACTGATCAACTTCTTTTAATTACGAGTGTCAGTTTCTTTGATGGTTCTATCTGTACAGACTTTTTTCGACTCGTTTTGAATTCATGTGCGTTAAGTTTTAGTAGCTGTGTATTTGTCATTTGTTTGGGGGGTGGGTTGGGGGGGGGCGGAAGACCTATTTTGTGCTATTTATATTTTCTCTTTCCTAAAATTTCGATGTTTTGATACCTGACCATTCTAGGTTCCCGTTCCTTTTTTTACATCGCAGATTTATCTCACCGACTGTTAAAGGAAAAAATTAAATAAAACGGACCAAAATGACTTGCGACATTTTTTTTTTTTTTTATAAAAGAATCGTCATTGTGAAACCTCGTCCACTTTTTAAAAAGTCCCTTAAAACCCATCTGTTTAGGTCCGCCTATGACCTGTGATGCACCCTCCTCGCCCTGCCTCATGTTCTGTCTCGGGTTTAATCCTGTAGTTTATAGGCCAAAACGTGCCAAAGTGTCCTCGTTTTTATAGCCATTATAATTGTTTCTATAGTATAGTAGTTACTATCCTAATGTCTCATTTTTATTTTAGTTAGTTTACATGTTTTTAATCATTGTAAAGCGCCTAGAGCTTTAAGGTAAGCGCTATATAAAAATGCCTAAATAAATAAAAATCTCCTTTAGCGCAGTTATCGGGAATGTTATTTCGTTAAATCAGCGTCATCATATGTCTTTCATCTTCCCCTTGTCAAACTGATTTTTTTTGTGGGGGGGGGGGGGGTGGGGGGTGGTGGGTTTGGGGGGGGGTTGAGGCTGACAATTTGAAAGAATATGCTGTCAACGGCAACGAGTCTATGTGCCAAGTTTCAGTTTTATAGGCTGACGGGAAAGGGGTCAATTAGCCGTCCAAATATTTTGCGCTAAACACAAAAATGAAGTTAATTTTAAAGGTTTTAATCAAAAGCGCTATCCTGTAACAATTTTTTCCGTAACTTCTGAAAATAGTTATGGCGGAAAAACTGTGTTGTAACTGGGTCCGCTCAATGTCGCGTTGAATTGAACGTGAAACTAAAATTGTGAAAACCTTGCAGTCCAGCTGGTTCTCAACCAGTGGGTCGCGAACCCATTGGGGTCGCACGACCCTTTCCCAGGGGTCGCCTGCACGTCCGGAACTGTGTGAAATGGTCGCTGCATCAGGAAGATTGAGAACCACTGTTGTAGTCTTTCACGGCACTCTTGGAAGGCTGCCAACTTTGTATTACTTTTACATCCTTATGAAATGAGGGATGTGGCAAGCACAACACAATCTTTCATATTGGACATGAAAATAAGGTAAAATCTGAAGGTTCAAACAATATCATTAAGAGACTATTTCTTTTTTACATTTTTTTCCATGTCTTAAAAAAATAATTTCTGTGTCTGTCAATTTTGTGACATTAACAGTGACAGTAACAGTGATCGTGACAGTAACATTCACAGTAACAGTGATAGTAACAGTGACAGTGACAGTAACAGTGACAAGGACAGAGATGGTAACAGTAACAGTAGGTGTACCAGTAACAGTGACAGTAACATTAACAGTAAGAGTAACAGTAAAAGTGACTGTAAAAGTGACATTTACAGTAACAGTAACAGTGAGAGTACCAGTGACAGTAACAGTGACAGTAAAATTGACAGTAGCAGTGATAGTAACAGTAACAGTGATAGTGACAGAGGTGTAACAGTAACAGTAGGAGCAACAGTAACAGTGACAGTAAGAGTAACAGTAAAATTGACAGTAACAGTGATAGTAAAAGAAACAGTGATGGTGACAGAGAGGGTAACAGTAACAGTAGGAGTAACAGTAACAGTGACAGTAACAGTGACGGTAAAAGTATCAGTAAAATTGACAGTAACAGTGACAGTAACATTAAGAGTGACATTAATAGTGACTATAAAATTGACAGTTAAATTGACAGTAACAGTGGTAGTAACAGTGGCAGTCAAAGTAACAGTAACAGTGACAGAGATGTAACAGTAACAGTAGGAGCAACAGTAAAGGCGATAGTAACAGTAACAATAAAATTGACAGTAACAGTGATAGTAACAGTAACAGGGATAGTGACAGAGATGGTAACAGTAACAGTAGGAGTAACAGTAACAGTGACAGTAACAGTGACGGTAACAGTATCAGTAAAATTGAAAGTAACAGTGACAGTAACATTAAGAGTGACATTAATAGTGACTATAAAATTGACAGTTAAATTGACAGTAACAGTGGTAGTAACAGTGGCAGTCAAAGTAACAGTGACAGTGACAGAGATGGTAACAGTAACAATAGGAGCAACAGTAACAGTGACAGTAACAGTGACAGTAACAGTGACAGTAACAGTGACAGTAACAGTGACAGTAACAGTGACAGTAACAGTGACAGTAACAGTGACAGTAACAGTAACAGTAACAGTAACAGTAACAGTGACAGTAACAGTGACAGTAACAGTGACAGTAACAGTGACAGTAACAGTGACAGTAACAGTGACAGTAACAGTGACAGTAACAGTGACAGTAACAGTGACAGTAACAGTGACAGTAACAGTAACAGTAACAGTAACAGTGACAGTAACAGTGACAGTAACAGTGACAGTAACAGTGACAGTAACAGTGACAGTAACAGTGACAGTAACAGTGACAGTAACAGTGACAGTAACAGTTACAGTAACGGTGACAGTAACAGTGACAGTAACAGTGACAGTAACAGTGACAGTGACAGTGACAGTAACAGTGACAGTAACAGTGGCAGTAACAGTGACAGTAACAGTGACAGTAACAGTTGCAGAAACAAGTTTCAGGTACTCCCAGTGCAACGCTGACTCCGAAAAAACAATACACCTAATTTATTTTTTCTTCGCCTCTGCTCCCTAAACAGATCGGAACAGACAACTAACTCGCCAGCATCATGCCGTGGAAGGTTGCCATGGCGATAGCGCTCGTCTATATCCTCATCCCTTCCGTCGCTTCTGAGGAACTCAATCGCGTCTTGATGACCTGCTCCCCCAAATGCCAATACACGGCGACCAACTGCGTCCTGCAGTCGAGAACCGCCAGTGGAGACGCGAACGCCGGGAGATACTGTCGACTCTTTCAAAGAAGCGACGACGTCCTCACCGCGTATCAATGCCTGGTAAGGCTCGGACTCTGCACGGACGATGAGTACGACAAGCTCGAAGCCGCGGCCTGCGGCGGAGCGACGCGAAAGCGGAACGGCGCCGACGAGGCCAGGAAACTTTTCTACTCGGCCGTCGACTCGATCGGAGAGTTCTGCCAGAAGGAGTTTGTCCGATGCGTGAGGGCCTCCAGCGTGGCCACCGTCTACAAACAGCACGGGCGGTTCTGCTATCTCATGGGGCTGAGCCTTGACAACTTCAACTTCAGAACGTGTCTTCTGCGGAATAATCAGTGCGTGCATTCGGAGTACGCGAGGATGAACGACTCGGCGTGCATGAGGTCGGCGAGGAAGGCGGCGTCTTCGGAGTTCTTCGACGCACTGCTGCTCACAAGCCCCACGTGTAGGAACGGGCTGGACCACTGCAGCATCTCCAGCATTAAGGCTCTCGAGCTGATACAGGCAGAACGTTACTGCGAGGCGCTCCACGTGGAGGAGGACGGGAAGTCCGCGTATGGGTGCTTGGTGGAGTCTAACCGGTGCGAGCAGAAAGAATATGACAAGCTCAAGGACGCCGTGTGTGGAGGTGGCCGGCCGGCGCTCGCCCTGGGAACGATTATTTCATGTCTTCTGTTTTTTTTATTAATCACCTCAAGATTTTCATTTCACTAAATTATAATATTGCTTTTAATTTTTTTTAAAGTGCGCGTGTATTATTAGTTCACCTTATGAGTAGCATAATTATGCTCCATTTGCAGTGTATAATTTATTTATAATGATTACTTGAATAGCACTTGTAACCATGCTATTTTTAGCATGCCCACAGAGCTCCGATGTCTTGAAATCTATCTAATGAAATTTTTAAAAATTTGAATGTCTCTTAAATGATTTTTTTTTAATCATTCTTAATTTTCATCAATCAAAGATTGAGGCAAACTTTTACATAATTTAGGCACTATAGCTTCAAAAGAGCGCACTCCACATGACTTCGCTTTGAGTCCATCTACACTGGGAACTATCAGTAAGGAATAAGAATGAGAGCGGAGGATCTTCAAGGATGCCTGTTTAGAAATCAATTCATTCAGTTATTTAGATGCGGAGAGTTCTATACAGCTGCACGCCAGGGACAGAGAGTTCTATACAGTTGCACGCCAGGGACAGAGAGTTCTATACAGTTGCACGCCAGGGACAGAGAGTTCTATACAGCTGCACGCCAGGGACAGAGAGTTCTATACAGCTGCACGCCAGGGACAGAGAGTTCTATACAGCTGCACGCCAGGGACAGAGAGTTCTATACAGTTGCACGCCAGGGACAGAGAGTTCTATACAGTTGCACGCCAGGGACAGAGAGTTCTATACAGTTGCACGCCAGGGACAGAGAGTTCTATACAGTTGCACGCCAGGGACAGAATTTTGTGGTCAATGCGCTCACTCACAGGAAGCCAATTGAGATCTTTTAGTGATGCGGTCAAATTTCTTTAACCACGATACAATCCGTGCTGCAATGTTTTGTACCTTCTGGAGTCTCTGACTTGGTTTTGAGGTAAAAGCTGGCCTCATTAATACTAATATAAAAAATATTTTACTTTAAACTAGAGACCGACCGAATTTCGGCTTCGGTTTCGGCGGCGAAAGTGGCAAATTTAGCACTTTCGGCCAAGTTTCGGTTTCGGCCGAAACTGAAAGTTAACTTTCGGTTTAATTTCGGTTTCGGCCGAAAGAGAACAGTTATCTTTCGGTTTTTTTTCGGTTTCGGCCGAAATTGACTTAGACTTTTGGCTATCCGGCCAAAAGTGAATGGGGTTTTCGGTCATCTAATTCTCAGCAAAAGCCATATTTAACAACTAACAAAGCGACATTTAAGAATAAACTAAACAAACGATTTTTAAGAACAAATAAAGCTATCCTTAACAATAAAAAAAGCGAATTTTGAGAACAGACTAAACGATATTTAACAATAAACTAAGCGACATTTAAGAACAAACTAAACACTCTTTAAAACAAACTAAGCAATCTTTAAGAACAATCTAAGTGATCTTTAATAATAAAAAAAAAACTAAACGATCTTAAAGAACAAACTAAGTACATTTTAAGAACAAACTGAATGATCTTTAACAAATGATCTTTAAGAGTAAACTAAATGATTTATAGGAATAAACTAAGCGATCTTAAGGAACAAAATCAATTATCTATAAGATCAAACTAAGCGATCTTTAAGAACAATCTAATTGAACTTTAATAAAAACAACTAAACGATCTGAAAGAACAAACTAAGTGATTTTTATGAACGAACTAAATGATCTTTGAAAACAAATTAAATGATCTTTAATAGTAAACTAAATGATTTATGATAATAAACCAATCAATATTTAACAGAAAACCAAATGTTCTTTAGGAACACACTAAAAGATCTTTAAGAATAAAAAAATCGATCTTAAGGAATAAAATCAATTATCTATCAGAAGAAACTAAGCGATCTATATGAAAAAACTAAGCGATCTTCAACAACAAAATAAGCAATTTTTAAGAACAAACTAAATGATTTTTTAATAACAAACTAAAAGATCTATACAAACAAACTAAATGATCTTTAAGAACAAACTGAATGATCATTAAGAACAATTAAGCGATACTTAAGAACAAAATCAATGATCTTTAAGAACAAACTTACCGATCTTTATGAACAAACTAAACCATCTTTTAATAACACAAACTAACCGATCTTTCAGAAAAAAAACTTAGCGATCTTTTTTTTGCACAAACTAAATGATCTTTATAATAAACTAAAAGATCTGCGCAAGGTTTATGCCACCGTTTTGCTGTCACTGTTATGGGACCTTCAATTTTGATGCATTCTCGATTAGCCTCTGGCTCTGTAAATACAGTTTTGTTTTCAAGATTCGATGGAAAACATTCTCGATTTCTAGCGATATTTCCTCAATTGTAATACCCAGACCCGAAATCGAATCCGGCTACGTCCTAGTTGGGAGGCAAAAAAAAAAAAAGGTAGGGGGGGGGG